TTTTTTTTTTTTTTTTTTTTTGCCTGTAAAAGCTAGAGAACTAAGCAAGAAGCCAGAAGTTCTTCTGCCACCTGGTGTTGATAAGGTAACCGCCCATCCCATAGGTCTGTTTTCTAACCCCAATTGTACAGCAATCTGCATGGTTGATGCACTGTTCCACAAGCTGCTCTGAGCTGCTGGTCCCACAGAAGCTGCAATACAAAAGAACAATGTCGACCAGGTTAGTAATCATCATTCAAATCTTTCCTTTATTTTCTGTTTAGTACAGTTTAATCAAATGTGTAAATTTAATCTGTACTTATAGAGGAGGGTGAACATTTGAAAATATAGAAACAAAATAATGACACTATTATTTTTGAACTTTTATTTACTTGTTTGAATGACAAAGCCAGTATATAAAAATGATGGAAGAGGTTGGGACCCACCACCCAAACAGAGAAGGCTTTTTCTGGGGCACCACCAAAACAGATGCCTCAAGCTTCTTCACTTGGCTCAATACTGTCTCTAGTTTTGGGCCTTGAATCACCAGTGCCTCAACTTCCACCTGAAATTTTGAACCAAAATTAAAATCACCCACAGAACCCAAAACTGCACTCATCTGTAATTAAGACTTAAAAATGGTTCCTTCTTTTCTTTTGCGAACATGAATCTGGATAATGGAGGAGCACTAGGAAAAGGTTTTAGTTGGTATAGCTAGTGGCTTAGGCATCTCGAGATTTCTCTCCTTACCATGCTCTTTGCCTTTGTCTTTTCCCCTTATCTTATTTATTATGAACACATGCATTGGAAGTGAAAACCACCAGGTTAAAGATAACACAATATATATATATATATATATATATATATATATATATATATATAAAGCTGTTCCCCATGTGGCCCATATACTCGCACATACTTTTCCAGTAAGAGAGATTTAGAAATTATTTAACTTGATAACCCATAATCAAATCTTTAACCTCTTCTATGAATTAAGTGTCTACGAACTGTTACTTTTTAATCATTTTCAAACTGAAATTACATGCATGTATCTTGAGTCTGCAGGATGATAATACATTCAAGCAAAAAATGTTGTAGAGACAGAAGATGCAGCCAAACCCATGAAAGATTAGGAGGTTATTTATCCAAAATAAAGAACGTATACCTCAGGTCTAGAAGCTTTGCAGAGGTAGCCAAGAGAGTTAGCAAGAAAAGAAGAAGAATCAGGAGTTTCAGAGAGCTTGTTTGAGTGAGAAACAATGTGAAGAAGAGTGAACAAATCACCCTTATTAGCCACATGAGTTAGAGCCCACAGCATAGCATGCTTGGACTGCGATGAATGATCCACCACCACCATCACCCTCTTCTTACCGCACCTCTCAAACCCTTCCATGGACGCTCAGTTCAAAGCTTTAGCTGTACAGCCAAACCACCTCACTTTCTCAGTTTTTGTTGCCTTAAAACAAGGAACCTCTTCAGATGTGTTGGCGTTAGCTCCAACCCCTTTAAGCTAGGAAGAAAGAAGGTGGTTGGTTATATAGAAACTAGAGTTTTTCACTTGGAGTAGAGAGAGGAGATGGGACCGAGTGATAAATACGAAGCCATGATTTACAAGTTTTATGAGTCACGGGAGTCGCTGAACTGACGGTGCCTTTTTACAGTCTACTTATAACATTGATGCAAATGAGGACAGTACTGCTACTCAGCCTATTTTTTGATGATGATAGGGAAGGCTCTCTGTGCTGTTATCTCGCTTGCATCTTTTTCAGAACCTATATTTCCTTTTTTACATTGTTTGAATAAATCTATGATTACCCTCATATGCTTTGGAAAATAAAATAAAACAAACCTTTTTTTTTTCTTTTTTTTCTTTTTTTTCTTTTTTTTCTTTTTTTTCTTTTTTTTCTTTTCTTCTTTTGGTGTGGGAAAGATCTTTCGCAGAGATCGACGAACAGTGCCAAAGTGGTCCATCCTCATTCAAACTACTGTTTGGTGTTTCCGTCACGAGTTGCCTTATTTGTTGCTGACCTTTTCCAAGGACAGTTTTATCAACAGAAAAAATAAATAAAATGCAATAAAATAATAATTTTTAAAATATGTCTAATAATAAGTTTTTTATCTTTTACATGTTAAATTATTTATAAAGATAAGATTATGAGCGCTTATTTTAATTACAATTGAAATAAATAAAATAACTTCTTGGGAAAATTTTGCAAATTTAAAAACATCCCCATTTTTTATATTATATAGGTTTTTACATAATTCTAAAACTAAAAAACAAGAACTGACTATAAAATGAGAAATAGAAGATTATGTAAAAAAAATACAAAAACAACTTATAATCAAGTATTTTTTACCATCTAAGAGTACTAAAATGAGATTCCGAACCACAAATTTAATTAATGATATATTTTAATGAATTCAACTATATTAAGACATTCTATCAAGGATTTCAAATAAAAGCAAAAAAGAATTATAATCTGTACATATTCTTTTAATACAAATTTTGTATTAATAATTAATCAATAAAGTTACTAAAAAAATTGTAAACTTGAAATAAATGGGACGAAATTTAATTACAAGCATAAACTATCTACCAACCTAGTTAATCTTCTAATCTTCTAATCTTCTAATCTTCTAATCTTCTAATCTTCTAATCTTCTAATCTTCTAATGTAATGAAGGCCTCACTCTCAATAGCCTTTTATTCCCTACAGCCATTCATTATCTCATTAGCTTTTTATTCCCTACAGCTATTCACTATATCATAGTAACCTAACGGTGTTAGTATGAATATCTTTGTATGGAAGGTTAGATTCTCCTAGCAGCATTATATCTTCGGGGGAGAAGAGACGAGAACCAGTGCTCAAGTAGTGTTGTGCAACACGACCCCTACATTACAAATCAATAAAAAAAAGAACTATTAAGGGATCGGAAAAGGTTTAAAGCTAAGAGTTTCTAGTAAAACTGGAAAGAATCATGCAGTCATTATTGGTACAAACCTTCGTCTTTTCGTCTTATCATTGCCATCGACGTTTGAGATACGTAGAGTCTCTGATCTTGAAATGCAGCGCAACGAAGAAAGATATTCGAAGAATTGTACACCTTTCAATGCCAAATGCAATCTGTTGGGAGCCACATGCTGAACTACGTCCAAGAGACGTGATTTCATATCTCTGCTCAAAAGACATTTAGAAGTTAGTACAAGTGTGAGAAGTTTTTCTTGTAACTGAGATCATGAAGATTGAATCTTTAAAATCTCAATTGGTAACAATTAATTTTTTTGTTTTTAAGAATTAAGCTTATAAACACTACTTCCACCTAAATCATCCTAAATCATCCTAGCAGATGAGCAAATATCCATATGAATGGAGATTTCAGTCTTACCTCTCTTGCATATGACTATTTTCTGGAAGGCTCAGTTCACTACCTTTCTTAGTGGAAGAGGAGCTATCCATCATATTGTGCCTCATTAATTTTCCCGATACTGCTGTATTAGTCGTAGAGGCAAGCATCTCTGGTACAATATCGAACGAGCTACCGAGGCCCACACGAGAAGCCATGGTAGCAATATCACTCACAATGGAGCAAAATCCATGCTGAGCAATTGTAGATGACATTTGCAATTGCTGGCCTCCAAAGAAGAATGAGTCTGGCTCTTCAGATACAAAAGTCGGTTTATCCTAAAGAGAAATATGGTTACTTTTATGGAAACTAATTCGTGATACACGCAAGTTAAAGCACTTACTTGTAGTTGGCAGGAAGAAAACAACAGGTCTGAATCTGAAATTAGATGGCTCATTCTATGAACTAATTCGACAATCTGAACGGTTTCTTGCTTTTCTGGCACAATATGATGCCCTAGAAGATCTAAGTGATGGTGGCGAAGTTGTTTCCACAATTTATGCACTAAATCACCAGATACGTTCAAATCAGGTTTCTTTATAGGCTTGAACTTGTTAAAGTCTACACGGCTGCACTCATCCATCACAGGATATGTTCTGATAATGTTTTCCATATGTCCATTACAAGAAAATTCTTCCCCCTCTTCGCGCGATGAATTAAATACATTGCAAAAATTTTCCAAAACAGCCGTAGTTTCTTGTATGGGATGTGTAGGTGAATTGAAACTATTGGCTTCAACTGATAACACGTTCTGAGAAAGCTCATTCATAGAAACTTCTGGACTGGCACCAGCATCACCATGAGATGCCA